TACCTACCGTTACCTAACGTAACTACGTACTAACTAAGACTACAGTAGTAGTTTAGTTACGTAACGTAAATAAAGTAAACTAAGTAGTACAGTATTATTATTTATTATATATATATATATATATATATATATATATATATATATATTATTACCAATGTTTGTTTAAATTAAATTTGTATTTAGATATGTACATAACATATACTGTTAAATATGTATTGTGAAACTCCTGCCTATTATCTGAAGTTGTAGAAGATTCTCGAGTGTAAGAATAAACAATATGTGTGTGTACATAAACGCTGGTGTAGCTTTGTATTGTTATGTAATCTGAATTTTTGAGAAACTCTCCACACACCTATAAATATAACAGACACGCCAAAAAACAGTATCTATTATTGGTGTGCTATAAACTTGGGAAGCTATAACTGTGATTGTTATAATGCTTATTAATCAGGAAACTTAAGATATTTGACCAGGAATATTTATAAATTTCTAATGTTACAAACCATTTAACTTCAGTGGATTCACATTGGACATATTACTTTTACAAAAACATTAACCAACTTCAATGGTGGGAAAAAATCGGCATGTGATCAGTGAAGACCACAGAGCTAGCTAGCTCCCTATTAAGTGAATTGTACCTACGTCAACTCGTAATTAACTCGCTCATTGTGAACCCTCGATAACATATCAAAGAAGTTCCTGACTTGAAAAACAAGATCTTGAAGAATCTATCTATCTATATATATAAAAGAGGAAGTTTGTTCATTTTGTTCGCTATAGGAAACCAAACAGTTGAACTTACAAATTTTAAAATAACTTCAAAATAACCAGTTTTTTACAAGAAATTTAATGGTGCTATTTATTGTGTATTTGGTGTAGTATTTAATGATGAAACTTACAATTAATGATTATTGTGCCATTTTTTTGTAATAAACATACAAACATAAGCACGTTTTGCACATAGAAAGCGTTATGGTGGGAGACACTCAGATCACCTTGCTGTCAATTCAGTATTTCTAAAAACAGCTTTTCTTTAAATAGTGCTAAGTGGTTTCATAAGTGATTTAGTAACTTTGTGAATTGCAAATTATTGTTTAGCGATACAGGTGATTATGCCACCCAAGAAACGCCCTTTCTATGGAAAGTCTTCTGCCACTAAAAAAATGCAAGCACAAAGAACAGCTGAAACAGAAGAATGCAATCAAAAACTTCAACCACAAGCTGCAAGACAGGCTCCTCAAATACAGGAAGAGACTTTGGAACAACGTAAAGTTAGACTTTGAGCTCAAGCTAAAAGGCAGGCTACTCAAAGACAGCAAGAAACTGTTGAACAGCACAAAGCCAGATTTCAGTCAGAATCATTGAGGCAAGCTGGATATAGACAACAAGAAACTTCTGAAC